TTGAGTTAACCACCACATTGGTGTATTTGATTATTTGTAACCATTATTTTCATAGTGGATTTCTGATCTGGACTAGGTCCCATGGGTTTTTACTTCTTAATTCAAGAAGGTTTTCCCACGTTAAATCTGGTTGTGTTCTTCTTCTCTCTCTCTCTCTCTCTCTCTCTCCTGTATTTACGTTTTGATTTTTCCGCTGCGCTTCCTGACCTGGTGAAATTCAGGCCGAGGTATTGCCGAGATCCGAGATCAGGATCTTGTTGATTGAGTTCCGCACAAAGGCCCCTGAGCCGAGCTTGAGGGAACCGAGTTTTCCCAACAGTGGTATCAGAGCCCGAGTTCGACGGGTTCTGAGGGAGACGAGATGAAGACCAGTGGCATAACTCATGATGGAGATATGTTCAAGTTGACCGCAGACAATTTCACATATTGGAGACCGATGATGGAAGATCATCTCTACTGCAAAGATCTGCATGAGCCCATTATCCTTGATGAGAGACCGGCATGCAAAACTGATAAGGAGTGGGAGATCTTGAGTCGGAAGGCGGTAGCCACGATCAGGAAATATATTGATAAAAGCCTCTTTGAGCACGTGTCCGAATTCACGAACGCGTATGAGTTGTGGACGAAGCTAGAGTCCATGATTCAGAAGAAGACTCCCAGGAACAAAGCACACTTGGTTCGCCGACTTGTTAAGCTTGAATACAAGGACGGCATGAGCATGATTGAACACCTGAACACCTACAAAGGTATTGTGAATCAGCTGTCAAAGGCTGATATGAAAGTTGATGAAGAATTGCAGGCATTGCTGCTGTTGAGCTCGCTGCCAGAAAGCTGGGATACTCTGGTGGTGACCCTGAATAACTCGACTCCAGATGGAAAATTGAAGATGGATGTTGTGACAGACAGCCTCCTGGGCGAAGAATCCAGGAGAAGAGAACGAGGTACTTCGAGTACGTCTGAGGCCAACGTTGCTGAGAACAAAGGGAAATCCGACTCCCGCGGTAGAAGCAAAAGCCGAGGTAGAGGTCGTGACAGACGAGACAAGTCCAGAGGTCGGTCAAAGCCGAAATATGAGTTGAAGTGCTTTTACTGTGGAAAGACAAACCATAAGAAGCCAGACTGCTGGACCCTGCAGAATGATGAGAAGAACGGCTATGTAAAGCCGGATCAGATTATTCCCAAGAAGAGGGAAGACAAGAGCACCACTGCGGTGGCTGCCAACCTGGATGCCGAGATATTCCTCCTTGGTGAGGATAATTATTTGAATGTTGCTTATGATGACTGCACCTGGATTGTTGACTCCGGTGCCTCCTTCCACGTTACTCCACACAAAGGTTTTTTCTCCTCTTACCGAGGTGGTGTTTTTGGAGTCGTGAAGATGGGAAATCAGGTGACCAGCAAGATTGTTGGTGTCGGTGATGTAACTCTGACCACAGATGTCGGATGCCAACTTGTGTTGAAAGATGTAAGGCATGTTCCTGACATGCGTTTGAACCTAATCTCGGTAGGCAAACTTGATGATGCCGGGTTAGTGAAATACTTCGGTAGTGTGAGATGGAAGCTGGCCAAGGGAAACTTGGTCGTGTCCCGAGGTAAAAAGGAAGGCTCCTTGTACGTGATGCAAGGAAAAATCAATGGCGGAGAAGCCAATTCTGTTCGAGATGAACCTAGCTTGGAGCTATGGCACAAGCTCCTCGGCCACATGAGCGAGAAAGGGCTACAGATCCTGAACAAGAAAGGATTATTGACCGGGTTGAAAGGCCAAGCGTTGGAGAGTTGCACGCACTGCCTAGCTGGAAAACAGCACCGGGTTTCCTTTGCGAGACCGGATCAACCAAGAAGACGAAGGAATATTCTTGACCTCGTCCATACTGATGTTTGCTCCATGTCGGAGAAATCTCTTGGAGGAGCTCAATATTTTGTTTCATTTATTGATGACCATTCCCACAAAGTGTGGGTATATTTGTTGAAGACTAAAGACCAGTTACTCCAATCCTTTAAAGAATTCCATGCTATGGTTGAAAGGGAGACTGGCAAGAAATTGAAGGTGGTCCGATCTGATAATGGTGGTGAGTATTGCGGCCCATTTGATGCATACTGCAGAGCGGCCGGGATTCGACTTAAGAAGACGCCTCCCAAGACTCCACAGTTGAATGGACTTGCTGAGAGGATGGACAGAACTATTGAAGAGAAGGTCCGAAGCATGTTATCCAATGCCGGATTGCCGAAATCATTCTGGGGAGAAGCCGTCAAAACTGCTGTTGATTTAATCAACCTCTCACCATCACGGCCACTTGAAGGAGAAATTCCAGAAGAAGTCTGGACAGGTCGGAAAGCGGCCTATAATCAACTGAAAGTGTTTGGATGTCAAGCTTTCGTGCATATCCCTAAAGATGAAAGGGCTAAACTTGATGCAAAGACCAAAGAATGCATTTATCTTGGTTCGCCGAGATGTGAGTTCGGGTTCCGACTTTGGGATCCAATCAATAAGAAGATAGTGAGAAGCCGAGATGTGATCTTTCATGAGCATGAGAACATTCATGACATCTCGAAGCCCAAAGTCCGGGTTACTGTCAGACGTGAAGAACCCGTCCCTCCTGTTCGAGTTGAAGCAGGGGGAGAAAATCAAGAAAATGAAGAAATTGATGATCAGCAACAAGCTGAAGATGACCAAGACATTGAGGTCCGAGATGATGATGAGATCCGGGATGAAAATGATGAACCGAGTTCTCAAGCTGAAGAACAGCCGAGATATCCAACTCGAGAAAGAAGACCCTCTACAAGGTACCCATCTGATGAATACACCGTTGTTACTGAAGACGGTGAGCCTCAGAGTTATGATGAGGCTGTAACGAGCTCAGAGAAAGAAGAATGGAAAAAGGCAATGCGAGACGAGATGAAGTCTCTGCACGAGAATCAGACTTATGAGCTGACCGAGTTGCCTAAAGGTAAACGAGCTCTGAAAAACAAATGGGTCTACAAGATTAAGAATGAAGAGAACGGGCAAAAGCCGAGATACAAAGCCCGGATTGTAGTGAAAGGCTGCAATCAGAAGAAAGGAGTAGACTTTGAGGAGATTTTTTCTCCTGTGGTGAAAATGACCTCGGTCCGAACCGTATTAGCCATGGCGGCTTCAATGGACCTCGAGGTAGAACAAATGGACGTGAAGACGACATTTCTTCACGGTGATTTAGAAGAAGAGATATATATAGAGCAACCAGAAGGGTTCCAAGCTCCAAACCAAGAAGACATGGTATGTCGGTTGAAGAAGAGTCTCTATGGCTTGAAGCAAGCACCTCGGCAGTGGTACAAGAAATTTGAATCATTCATGACTGATCATAAGTTTGAAAAGACAGATGTCGACCACTGCGTATTTGTGAAGAGGTATGAGGCCGGAGATTTTCTGATTTTGTTGTTATATGTTGACAATATGCTTATTGTAGGGAAAGATAAATCGAGGATAGCCGCCTTGAAAAAGGCGTTGAGCTCGTCCTTCGCAATGAAGGACCTCGGCCCTGCAAAGCAGATTCTCGGAATAAAGATTATCCGAGATAGATAGAAGAAGCTACTGTGGCTGAGTCAAGAGAAATATATTGAGAAGATTTTGAAGAGATTCAGCATGGACAAAGCCAAAACAGTGAGCACCCCCCTAGCCGGACACATAAAGCTGAATCGGAAGTAATGTCCAAGATCTGATGAAGACAAAGATGAGATGATGAAGGTCCCGTACCAATCCGCCGTCGGAAGCTTGATGTATGCAATGGTTTGCACTAGACCCGACTTGGCGTATGTTGTTGGAATGGTAAGCCGGTATTTGTCAAACCCCGACAAAGAGCACTGGGAAGCAGTGAAGTGGATCTTCAAGTACCTCCGAGGTACGACCAACTTATGTCTCCGATTTGGAGAAGGCAAAGCCGAGTTGAAAGGCTACTCGGATTCTGATTTAGGGGGAGACGCCGACTCGAGGAAGTTGACTACAGGATATTTGATGAGATTTGCCGGAGGAGCTGTCTCTTGGCAATCAAGATTTCAGAAATGTGTTGCACTATCGACAACTGAGGCTGAGTACATTGCCGCTACTGAGGCAAGCAAAGAGATGTTGTGGATGAAAAAGTTCCTCATGGAACTCGGCCATGATCAAGACAAGTACGAGCTGAGTTGTGTCAATCAAAGCGCAATCCATCTTGCAAAGAATTCTACCTATCACTCTCGCACAAAACATATTGATGTGAGGTATCACTGGATCCGGGATGTGGTGGAAGGTGTAGAGCTCGAACTCGTCAAGGTGCACACTGACCAAAATTGGTCCGACATGATGACAAAGCCGGTTCCAGCAAGAAAATTTGAAGACTGCTGTGAAGGAGCCGGGTTGATGCTGAAGCTGACGCATTGAAGTCGTAGGGAGAGATTTGTTGGGCTTCCTCCTTCAATGCTAAGCCCAAGCCCATTTGAGGGGTTTCCTAAAAACCCTAACCCTAATTTTCACCTCCTCTATATATACTCATTAGTTGAGGGTGGAGGCTAGGTTAGATAAGAGAGGTCAGATTTTGAGAGAACAAATTTGAGAGAATTATTTGATTGTTTGAGTAAAGCTTTATGCTTTGCATTTGAGAGATCTCTTGAGAGAGTTTGAGTGAAACATCTCTAGGGTAGTTTGATTATCACCATTGTTGGAGAGGTTGAGTTAACCACCACATTGGTGTATTTGATTATTTGTAACCATTATTTTCATAGTGGATTTCTGATCTGGACTAGGTCCCGTGGGTTTTTACTTCTTAATTCAAGAAGGTTTTCCCACGTTAAATCTGGTTGTGTTCTTTTTTTCTCTCTCTCTCTCTCCTGTATATACGTTTTGATTTTTCCGCTGCGCTGCCTGACCTGGTGAAGTTCAGGCCGAGGTATTGCCGAGATCCGAGATCAAGATCTTGTTGATTGACTTCCGCACAAAGACCCCTGAGCCGAGCTTGAGGGAACCGTGTTTTCCCAACAAAACTGAGGAAATGGCTTTGAGTTCTGAATCATACAAGTGGAAGTATGATGTATTCTTGAGCTTCAGAGGGTATGATACCCGCAGGAGTTTTACTAGCCATCTCTATCATGCACTATGCCAAAAGGGAGTTAACACTTTCATAGACTACAAGGAGCTCAAGAGGGGAGAGAAGATTTCACCTTCACTTTTTAGAGCTATTGAAGATTCAAGGATCTCAGTTGTCATATTATCTAAAAAATATGCTTCTTCCACTTCTTGCTTAGATGAACTCCTTAAGATCCTCGAGTGTAAGGATTCCAAGGGTCAGCTGGTTTTGCCTGTCTTTTATGCAGTGAATCCATCTCAAGTAAGAGAACAACAGGGAAGTTTTGAAGAAGATTTGGCCAAACAAGAAGAAAAGTTTTGGGATGACATGGACAAGGTGAAAAGATGGAGGGCAGCTCTATGTGAAGTATCTACTTTGTCTGGGTGGCACCTAGGAGATGGGTATGTGTTCTATAAAAAAGGATTATTAATACTTTGGTACTCCATGTTTCTGTTTAGCGTTGATGTTTTAATGAGTTATTAAACATTTATATATTGTCCATTTGATTTTTGGTGAACTTCAAACATTTATAGGCATTACTTTTGTGCAGCAGCGGCACGAAAGTAGTGTATGTCTCAGAGAAAAAATGGGATCTACTAATTTTTTTAAAAAAAAAATTTTTATCAAGATCCGAAGTGGTATCCTGATAGTTTTGTATCTGTAGCCGATAAAGTATTTTTGAGACAACTGCATAAATTCTTTTGCCAATATTTATTGTAAGAACTAACACCCCATAAATGATTGACAAGGAATAAAAAATTATCTCTAAGAACAAAAAAATTGAGTACCTTAGTAACTCTCCTAATACAAAATTTAGCATCATATTTTGTTTCCGTTAAGTTGTGTTAGGAAGGCCTTCACGTACTTTAATGAATAAATATAGTCACCGTTGATTAAATAACTAGATAGAAGGAACTGATAAACGATAATACGCAAATGCATTTGAACTGCAAAAGTAGACAGTCAAATATTAACAAATGAAAAGATCGGGGGAAATCATTTTCTTTACTATTGTTAATTATAAAAGGAGGATAAATTTTTTTTTTCCGGTAAAAAAATTTTAAATTACGGGAAGACTCGCTCCCTTGCAAGACTAGGAAGACCACCAGCCTCAATGGTGGTTTACGGTGAGATTACATATCATCTACCACAAGAGAAACATCTAAGAATCAAACCCAAGTCACAACTAGTGTTTGCATAAGGTTGACCAGGTATGCCAATGATCATTGGTGGAGAATTAGGGTATGTTTGTTTGTGTTTTTTTTTTTTTTTTTGCTTAAAACTGTTTTGTATAATAGTTAATGAAATAGGTATTTTTTTTTTTGAAGTTAAATGTCAAAATACAAAATAAAAATGACTCAGATATGATCTCTAAATTTGATTCTAAAAATATAATAATAATTACAACAGTTAGAACTATTTTTACAAAACAAGCATTGTGAAACAGATTTATAATACCCCTAACTTAAATAATTTAATTAATTACTTTAAATTAAGTAATTAAGCATGTATTAGTGAGTAAAATTAAGTATAGGGCCTAATTAAGTGAATTTGGGTCACTTTTGAGGTAAAAAGTGTACTCAGTGAAAATTAAGAGGTATAAATGGGTGTAGGCTCTAACACCCCGTTCTAGAACCGGTTTGTTAACATTGCATTATGATATTAAGCGCAGTTACAATCACATGGGTTCGATTAAAATCCGGATAAATTTTTCATTTTTAAAACATACCGAATTTATAATACCCAATTCCGTGATCATAACCATATTACCTCGCGGAATCAGATAAATTAAGCTTAACATCATGTTCTTATTCCGTTCTTAAACCCTTAATTTTCACTGAGTACACTTTTTAACTCCAAAGTGACTCAGATTCATTTCATTAAGCCTTATACTTAACTTTACTCACTAAAACATGTTTAATTAATTAATTACACTTGATTTACTAATAAATTAAGATGGGTTATTATATGGGCAAAAGTACTCAAAATATAAAAAATGGAAGTGGAAATATTCTTAGAAAAATATCCCAGACATTTGGGTAAAGTTTGATAATTAATGGAGTTGAATAGATAGATGAACCAATACCCACTTGATCCCACTTAACTTATGTTAAGTGGCTATGCAATAAAAAAGAACCCAAATCCCTCCCCAACCCGTCGTGGACCACAAGAAAGAAAAAAAGGAAGAGAAGGAGAAGGGGAAGAAGGGGGAACCCTAGGTTGTGCAATCCTTAACCAAATTCATCTATTCCAAAGCCTAACCCACTCTAAATCTCCTCCTCTTTCACAATCAAAGCTTGGTTTTGAGTGGGAGTCTTTGTGGAGTGAGATTTCTCCTCCCCAAAACTCGACCCTTTGGAGAAATTGTGGAGTTGGGTAGCTTTTACCTCCATGGGAGCTTGAGGAACAACTATTCCATTGTTGTGTGATCATTGGTGGTAAGTTTTCACTCTTTTTCACTTGATTCCTTGAGATTTTCAGGAGTTTAGGTTTTGGTGAATAGTGTTTGGGGTTTATGATAATGTGAGTAGATTAGTTATGTTCAAGGAAGAATGAGGCTTAGTGTATGTTGTGAAAAATGCTAGGAATGACATTTAATCGGTGAAAATGAGTTTAGATAGTCATATGATTATGTTTTGAAAATTGCAAGATTATATACTTGATTCTGGATTTGCTTGCATTGGTAAACAATTGTTTTGTTTGATTATAGAATTGATTGTGTTCCTTGTATTAATAGGATTGAGGCAAGAGAACCAAGTGGAGTGACCAACCCTTGTGGTTGTGTGCAATTGAGGAAAGTTCAAGAGCGAGGTAAACCTTTGGACCTTGGGGTTGATCCCCTTGAATGTTCCACCATACTCCATTAAGGAGGAATGGTTTATGAGGTGTGATATGTAATGATGATAGTTGTTGTATGCTCATGCATTGATTCATGCATTGAAAATATTATGATTGCTTAATGATAGTTGATAGATATGAATCTTGATTGAGGTAATGATTGATGGAACTATGATGAGGACGATTGATAGGAACTTCCCTTGGAAATAGCCCTATGTGGATCTCCATGTGGTTAGAGCCTAAGAGAAACATCCCTATGTGGATCTCTCTTGGAGGTTCCTAGATTGAGGTTAGGGACTTCCCTTGGAAGCAGCCCTATATGGATCTCCATGTGGTAAGAGCCTAAGATAAACAGCCCTTCGTGGATCTCTCTTGGAAGTCCATGTGATGTTAATAGATAAGAATGTGTAAGCTGTTATGATTATGTGTACATCGAAAGTGAACCTTAGGGTGGAGTGATCTCCAAGGACCCTTGGTTTACTGTGATATATTCGTATATCTCACCCCGTGTTGTGGGGCATCATTTCAGGTATTGATAGAGGTAAGGATGATCGAGGCAAGAAGCATGAGTAGGTTGTACTTGATAGCAGGACATTTTGAGTTGCATGCCATTTAGAATTGCTATATGTATATTTTGATGCCACATAATGTATTTGGAAGGACTTAGTGCATGATCATCGTAGTAGTAACTGGTATCTGGTGCATGGTTACTTGCTTTGATCATGTTCCTTTTGTAGCTAAGTCCTTTGACATGTATATGAAATTTGTAAGAACAATGATGTAATTGAGACCTGATGATGTTGTAATGTTGTAATTAATGAAGATATATGTATGATGAAATGGTATGCATGCCTCTCTTAGTGTATGAGTACCTTGAAAGACTAGGATTCATGTATTGAAAGAATTATATGATTGTCAATTAGGTGAAAGAAGACCTTTAGGTTGAAAATCCAAGTAAAAGTAAAGATATCCTGTCTTGTTGTCCAATTTTACTATCCTATATGATAGATTTGGACCCTTGTGTCTTAATGGAAGTTGTAGATAATTTTCTTAGCTTTCCATAGAGACCAAGATTGTGTAATTTGGATAAGTACAACTAAAGTTATGGATGAAACATCATAGGTAGGTCAAATTGCCCTATTTTGGCACCCAGACCTGTTGTGTGGCGCTATGGGCGCCAAACTGGCGCTAAGGGCGCCAACTGCCAAAAAGAGGCAGTAACATTGGCGCTGAGGGCGCCACTGTGGCGCTTGGAGCGCCAACCTCCCTATATCTTCACGCTACGAGCGTGAGACTCACGCTATGAGCGTGGGGGTCCTGGGGATTTCAGCATCCATTTTCTTAGAAAATGTTTAACTTGAGCTACGGTGCTTCGATTTGAGCGCGGTTTGAACCCACGCGTAGCTAATGAAAAATCCTATAACATATTGGAAAAACGGAGACCATAAAAGTAGTATAGGAATTTTTTAAATAAATAAAGAGTATATATGTTTAGTGTTTAAGAACTATAAAGTAAGTATATAAATTCCAATTTAGTAAAAGGCGAAGAGAGTTTAGTATTGAACTCGAACAAAATAATGATATGATATTAAGTTTAGTTTTGATTATTCCGTAAAGTAATAATGTTATGGTCACACAATTGGTTATTTCAAACTTGGCGTTGTAAAAAAGGAAAACGAAAAATTTATCCGGGTTTTTAATTGAACCAATGTGATTGTAACTGCGCTTAATATCATAAAGCAATGTTAACAAACCGGTTCTAGAACGGGGTGTTACAAGATTTTTTATATTTTTGTTCTAAAAATCAAAAAACTGTTCTTCGAAATAGAATACAAACATGCCCCTTAGTTTTTGTATCTAGTTAAGTGTTGCCAATTTTCCATTCATTTCAATAACTTGTTATGGAGTTCATTCTCATGGTACCAGCAAAAGCTACAAATTCTCATAAAATGATAATTAATCATATCTGAGAAACTTACATTGTGTTCTTTGGATTTCTAGTAACAGAAGGGAATGACTCTTAGATGCATCTAACTTAGTCATTGATTGGCTAAAAAGTTTAACTAACACTCCAGCATTTGATTATACATGATTCTAGGTGCCATTTTATAGCTGTCTTTTCCTGGATGGTAAGAAGTTTCTTTGGCTTTATGTGTTGCAGGCAGGAATCTAAGTTTGTTCAGAGAATTGTTGAAGAGATATTGAGTAAGCTGAACCGCACACCTTTCAGTGTTGCTAAGCATCCTGTTGGACTGGATTCGCCTATAGAAGATATTAAGTCACTTTTGAAAACTGGATTAGATGATGTGCGGGCTATAGGAATTTACGGAACTGGAGGAATAGGGAAAGCAACACTTTCTAAGGCTGTTTATAACCATTTTGCTAATCAGTTTGAGGGTAGTGCCTTCATTGCAAATGTTAGAGAAATTTCGAGTCAAAGATTTGGCTTAGTTCAACTACAAGAAGCGCTTCTTTCAGAAATTTTGAACTACAGAGATTTTAAAGTAGGCAACAAAGATAAAGGAATTAATATGATAAAGAATAGGCTTTGTTGTAAAAAGGTTCTGATAGTTGTTGATGATGTTGATTCATTGGAGCAACTGGAATCATTGGTTGGAGAAAACAGTTGGTTTGGATCAGGAACTAGAATCATCATAACAACTAGAGATAAGCATTTGCTAATTGCTCACAAAGTGGAAACAGCCTACAAAGTCAAGGAATTAAGTCATGGTCATGCTCTTGAACTGTTTAGTTGGTTTGCTTTCAAAAGACCCTGTCCTTCAACAGATTATGAGGAGTTGTCCTTCCATATGCTAAACTATGCCAAGGGTCTGCCATTGGCACTAACAGTTTTGGGGTCTTACCTGTGTGGTAGAGATAAAGTAGAATGGAAAAGTGCATTAGCTAAACTGAAAAAAATTCCAGATAGACAGATTTATGAAATGCTTAAAATCAGCTTTGATGGGTTGGAGGAGAATGAAAAGGCCATTTTTCTGGATATTGCATGTTTCTTTAAGGGAGAGGACAAACATTATGTGAAAATGATACTAGACGGTTGTGACATGCACACAGATATTGGGATCAGAGTTCTAATGGATAAGTCTCTCATTGCTGTAGAACTGAACAAGCTTTGGATGCATGACTTGCTACATGAAATGGCTAAAGAAATTGTTCGCTGTGAATCCCCTAAAGAGCCCGGTAAACGCAGCAGACTTTGGTTTCATGAGGATGTTCTTCATGTATTCAACCAAAATACGGTATATCAAGGAACAAATTTATGTTAATATAAAAGTTTTAAGTTTCATTCAAGTACCTAACTATTCTAACTGTCCATTATTGTTTGTGTGCCACTAGGGAACTGACAACATTGAAGGAATAAGGCTAGATCTACCTGAACCACATAAGGTTAACATAAATGGCAAAGCCTTGGCAAATATGAAAAGACTTAGACTTCTTATGATCAATAATGCAGATGTTTCAGATGATATTCAATATCTATCTAATGAGCTAAGATTGATTGATTGGCCGGGATACCCTTCTTCAACTCTACCACCAGACTTCCATCCAAAGAGGCTTGTTTCTCTAAATATGAGTCATGGTCGCATCAAACACTTGTGGAAGGGAGCTAAGGTAAGGAATTGCTCTTTCAATTATTGTAATATTTTTTGAAATGTCAAAGGCTGTTGTGGTTTAATGACGTAACTTATTAGAGATATATAAAACAATTAATGTAATCTCATATGGTATCAGAGCCTCAGTGTTATGGATTCGATCTTCACCACCCCTCATTTAATTAATAAGTAATCAATCAAGTCTTGTGGAGTTTCTTAGCACAGGTAGGTGGGACTGTATATTGTCCACCCTTTAAGCCCAGTAGGCTTTCATGTGAGGGGGCGTATTAGAGATATATAAAACCATTAACGTAGCTTCACCCAACATCTTAAACTTTTAGGTTGAATTGGATCTTTACATTAAGCTAATTACTTTCCTTTTTACATTACTAATGATGTTTGTCTTCCTCAGATATTCAGAGACTTGAAACTTGTCTCCTTTAGCTGCTGTGAATACCTCACTGAAATCCCGGACTTCTCTATGGTTCCAAACCTTGAGAGTCTCAACCTAGACCATTGTAAAAGTTTAGTTAAGGTGCATGAGTCCGTGGGATATCTTGATAAGCTTGTTACTTTAAACTTTCTATTATGCTCCAATCTCAAGACTTTTCCAAGTAGATTCAAATTGAAATCTCTACGTACTCTTCTCCTTACTGGCTGCTCAAATCTTAGAAAGTTTCCTGAGGTTGTTGAGAAAATGGAACATCTTGAAGAAATCCTTCTCCAAGGGACTGCAATAAAAGAACTACCACAGTCAATTGAATATCTAATTGGGCTAAAAGTCTTACTCTTGGATTCATGCAAAAAGCTTGAGCACTTCCCTAGTAGCCTTCAGAATTTGCAATACCTTACTGGACTTGTTCTCACTGATTGCTCTAAGCTCCAGGAGCTTCCAAAGCTTCCACTAAATATAAGATTTATAGATACAAGTAATTGCAGATCATTGTCCAGCCCATCAAATTTTAGTGTAGAGGACTTTCCAAGGTTTTCTCATATGGTATTCATTAACTGCCATAAACTGATTAATAAGCAGGTCCAGGATCACATAACAAGTCTCTTATACAATGAGGTTGGTTCTAAATGCTCATACTCTTTGTCTCTCAGTGTGTACTCATTCTTTCAGAAAAATATATTCAGGAACTAAAATTAATTTTCATGCTTCAGGAATCTATTGATGAAGTTATGCTTCCAGGGAGCAAGATCCCTGATTGGTTTCATCATCAGAGTACTAATGGTTCAATTTCTATTGAGGTAGCTTCAAGGTTATACGGTAAGCACGTGGAGTTGTTTTTTGGTGCAGTTTTTGAGTTGGAAAAAGGTGCTACTACAACCGGTATGTTTTCATGTGTATATGAGGTTATCATCAATGATCGAAAGACACTTGCCATAGCAAGAAATTTTGAATCACTGGACTCAAGTCATGTGTGGCTAACTAGGATCAAATTTGGTCGTTTGATGTTGCGCCTAAACAGTATGCATTATTGGAATCACTTCAGGATTTCATTTGGGATCTCTGAAGTATCATCAAATGTGAAAGTAAAAGCATCCCTGAAAAGTTGTGGTTTCCATATTTTGTGCAAGCAAGAAGGGTGTGTTACTGATCATGAAACTGTTAGGAAGTAGACAGGGTAAATGACTATGAGTGAATGATTAACAAAGGGGAAAGAAAATGACACTCAACATGATCTTCTCTAGAATTCAAAAACTTGCAGAACATATTGGGTTGTAACATTTATTCATAAAAGTAGAGTAGGGAATAGTGCAGTTGTGTTGCCAGTTATGCAATCCTGTTGTTAGTGTTCAATATTTATGTTCAGAAGTGTGTGTTAATTTATGCAAGTATAGCATAGTGGAGAAGTGCATTACCCTTTGAATTAGTTGTTTATTTTTTTCTCAGCTTCTTTTAATTTGGAGCTTTTCTTTGTATTTTCTGCTGGAGTATTTAACTTCATTTTTATTTTCAGCTTCTTTTTATTTCACTTTCAAATTTTTTTTGTGTGACTAATTAAGGATGGCATAATGGCTTAAAAATGTGGCCATTCGGCCTCCAATGTTTAAAAATGTTATACTATCATCTGACTTTTACAGTCTCTGAATTTGTGCACTATGCCTATGGTTATGCCTGTATTAAATTTATGTAAACTATACTAATAAGTAAAAAGTGATATACTATACAGATATACCATTAACAAGGGGAAAAAACCTAATCAAAAGAAGAAACAAATTAACCTAATTAAAGTTTCAAACTAGGTTCGGAGCCAACTGGACCGTATACGTTCCTAAACTTATAATATCTTCTACCAATTCTCTTTATATGGATGTGGATAAAATGGGTATAACAATTAAAAAGATAATATTTTGTTTTTCCCAGAAAACAAAACAGGAACTAACAGGGGTGTGCATGACAACCTTTCCAGAATCAATTTTTTTTTAATTTCTATTCTTGGAAACAAATATGGATAGGAAACTCGTTTGGTAAAATCAGTTTATTTTTTCGTTCCCGGAATGAACCGATTTAATTTTTGTGCTGGGGAACAAAAAAAAGAATTAATTTTTTTTTGTTTTTTTGTTCCCCGGCACAAAATGAGAAACACTTCTCTCTCAATTACTCTCCACCACTACCATCACCACCACCATCCCAACACGACCACCACTACCATTGTCACCGTTGTCGTCGTACCACCAGTGTCGTTGTCACCACCACCATGATTCCACTGCACCACCACCTCCACCCATCGCCATATCACCACCACCACCACTACACCGCCGCCACCGCCGACACTGCTACTATTGCTGCAGCTACTGCCGTCATCACCACCACCATGCCACCGCCACCAACCATCAACCACCACCGTCGTTACCATCGCCACCACCGCCACCAACTACCACCATAATATCCCAAACCCAAGTATTTAGGAAATTGCATGTGATTAAATAATTAATCATGCATTACTGGGTTGAATTAGGTAAAATACCTAATTAAATGAATTAAGGTCACTTTTGAGATAAAATATGCAGTCAATGAAAATTAAGGGGTAAAAATGTGTGTAGGCAAAAGTATCCAAAATATAAAAGTAAAAGTAACTAGATAGATGAGCTCATACCCAGTTAAGATAACTTAACTATGTTAAGTGTAAAGAAATCACAACACTACTCCCATTTCTTCATCTTCTTCGATGGACAAGAGAGCAAAAGAGGAAGAGAGAAAAGCCAAAACCCTAACTCCCTTGATTCTCCACCAAATCCATCCATTACAAAGCCAAAAATATAGAGAATCCTTCCCTCATTGCAAATCCAAGTTTGGTTTTGAGTGGGAAGCATTGTGGAGTGAGATATCTTCCTCCCAAGAATTCGACCCACTTGGTGATTTGTGGAGTTTGGGGGCATTTTCACCTATGGGAGCTTAGGAGACCTCTATTCCTTGGTTGTGTGACCTATTATGGTAAGTTTCCATTTCTTCAACCTTGTTTTCATGGAATTGTCTAGAGGTTGAAGACAATGAATAGTGATTTTGTGAGTTTGATGAGTTTGAGTTAAATTGATGCTAAATTCCTTTGTAAAAGTTGTTATGAATGATAATTAAACGGTGGAAATGAACTTAGATAGTCGTTTGGTTGTTGTTCAATATTTTGGAAAAATTCATGCTTGAAATGTTGAGTTTCTTGCATTGTTGAGTCATGGCTTGTATTGGTTGTGTTAATGGTGTCCATTGTTTTGGTAGGATTGAAGCAAGTGGACCCACATTGAATGATCAAGCATTGGTGGAATCCAAGGAGCTTGATTAGGCTAGTCGTTTGGTAAGTTCATAAGCTTGTTAATGGTGCATGAATTTTCTATGTTGTTGATGAATATAGAGGTATTCATTGATGTATGTTGAATGGTTTTACATTCTTGAATATGGTGTGTTGGTGATTGGAAGGAATTTCCAAGTGGACATACTAAGAAAGGTTGGTGTGGATAAGTGAGCTAGAAGAAAGCTTGCAAAAGAGGAGAAACATCAAGAGGTAAACCTTTGGATCTTGGAGGTTAATCCCTGTTGTTGTTCCACCATTGCTTTTATGGAAGTAATGGTTAATGAATGGATGATTGAGTGGTAATGTTAGTATTATAGTATGTTTGCATTCATATTGTATTGTTGTGTCATTGGAGAAAAGGCCAATGGACAAGCACTAGGGGCTAGGTTGTATGCTTAGTGAAAAGGACTAAGATGCAACTGAAGCATGTGTGATGATTTGATTGTTTGATTCTTTGGCCATTTGAATGCACGAATATACTGTGGTTAAATCATTACTGTTATTGCCTCTGGATATATGATGTAGTCCATGCCATGTGTATACTATCCCTTTATGCAGGAAGTGAACTCTGGGGTTGGAGTAATTCTCCAAGAACTCTGTGTTTATTGAGTTTTATCTCACCCCGTTTGGGGAATGCTATTTCAGGTACTTGCATGGATGATGCGGGACGAGGCAAGAGGCTTGAGTATATGACACGTGATAGCTTGTCATTTTGGGATTGTATATCATCTGGGATTGTTAGATGTATGTATCATTTACATCATCATATGTTTGTGTATTTTGAGGCCATATGATGTAATATGATATATGTAGTTGTAATTATAGATTGGTGCAAGGATTATTTAAGAGATTAAAGATAAATGATGGGATGTAAGAGCCACAACATGTGTTGGATATTGTTGGCAATTCCTAGTCTATTAGGTGTTACGAGGATAGTGAAAGAAGGAGGAATTTCCTCATGAAATTATGTGAAAACAGGGGAGGGCATGTGTTGCCTAGTTGGAGAGCGTTTTAGCGCTGATAAGGGTGCTAAAACGCGTTGTGTTCGTAAAATGGAAGAAAAATCTATGCCCTTGGGCGTTTTAACGCCTAAGTAGGTGCTAAAACGCGTAAGTGGGCGCTAAAACGCACAAGTTGAGCTCTAAAGCGCATTGAAGACCTGGAGAAGGTCAAATTCTCTGCCTCTGGGCATTTTTAACGCCCAGTTGAGCGTTAAAACGCGCTACCCAAAATCAGCAAAAACACAGTTTAGTAAAACTTGCATAACTCGAGCTACGGAGCTCCGATTTGAGTGCGGTTGGAACCCACTCGAAGCTAACAAAGAGATCTATAATATAGTAGGAGATGAGAACTATAGTGGATGTATAGAATTCATATAATAATAAAAGAGATGAAGACATTTAACAACGTGTGGTCTAATAAAATAAGAATATGATGTTAAGCTTAGTTTCATTTATTCCGCAATGTTATATGGTTATGGTGACGCAATTGGTTATTTTAAATTTGGTTTTGTTCAAATAGAAAAATTTATCCGAATTTCTAATCGAACCAATGTGATTGTAACTGCGCTTAATATCATAATGCAATGTTAACAAACCGGTTCTAGAACGGGGTGTTACAACCACCACCATCGTCGCAGTCACTGCTGTCTCCACCACCACCATGTCACTACCACCACCACCACTACTGTTGCCACCGCCACCTTCACCACAGCCACTGTCGTCACCACCACCACTATGCCATTATCGCCGCCGCCACCACCACCACCACCACCATCGTAGCAGCCGCTGCCGTCACCACCATTACCATCGCCACCGCCACCATCGCCACCAACTACAACCACCATTGTCGCAGCCAATGCTGTCTCCAGCACCACCATGTCATTACCACCACCCTGTCGTCAACAGCACCATCGCCGCAATCATTGTCGTTACCACTACCACCATGCCACTGCCACCGCTGTCATCGTCGCAGCCACTGCCGTCACCACCACCACCACCTCCACCAACTACAATCATCATCGTCGCAGCCACTTATATCTCCACCATCACTACCGCCGTCGCTGCCATCATCGCTGCAGCCACCACCATCGCCACCATTATCGTCGTCGCCACCACCACCACCACTATCATCGCCATTATTACCACCACCACGCTGCCACTGTCGCCACCACCACCACATCATATGGAAAAGAAAGTGTAATATGAAAAAGATTTATGTTTAATAGGAATTATATTTTATTATATTATTATTATGTTATCAAACACAATTCTTATTCTCGAATAAAAATATAACATGTTATCAAACACGTTTTTTTTCTCAGAATCTGTTAAGGCACAGAAATAGAAAAAAAATTATTTCTCTTCAGAAATAGTGTTAAGGAACAAAATGATTGTCATGCATACCCTAATTCAAATTTGGCACTTATTATGGAAAGAAAAATGACATGTTAACCATTAAATTAAATTACTTTAATTCTTGTTTACCAAAAACAAAAAGTTACTTTAATTCTTACATTATTTTTATTTATATATTTTTCTATAAATTCAATTTAAACAGTTGAACCTACTTATTGAATCATGGACCCGTTTATTTGGTACCCTCGGTTTAATAATATCGTTCACTTAGCATGTGAATAATGTTTCAATTTGAGTGACATACTGACATAGATAGAAAAAAAATCCTTCTTTTCGTGTAAACTTTCGGTCCCACTCCACTCCAGTTGCACAACTTTCCATGCGTTCCACGAATCTTCAAAATTATTTTAAATTAACCATGCGTGCTACTCATGGCAAGTTTAATATAAAGAAAAAATAATAATAAAATATTTATATATTATAAATTTTCAGAGTTATCAACTTTCTGCTGCATAGATGTTACTTTCCTAAATCAAATAAACCGAAAACTAATAAGCTCGTGCAACATACGCACCAAAATTTCTATATTATAACATCACCATGCCCAAAATTCATAACCTTATGCTGCTCTATAAATTGATGCACAATGAGATAAGTAACACATCAGAAAGACACAAAGATCATAAGCCAAACAATGAAGCTTGCTATGCTTCTTCCATTGTGCTTCCTTCTCTTTGTCTTCAACACACAACCATTACTAGCAGCAGAACCAGAACCAGTGGTTGATAAGCAAGGAGAGCCATTGCAACCTGGAGTAGGGTACTATGTGTGGCCACTGTGGGCTGATAATGGAGGCCTAGCATTGGGACACACAAGGAACAAGACATGCCCTCTTGATGTTATCCGTGACCCTTCTTTCATTGGTTTGCCAGTGACCCTTTATGCACCAGGTCTTGATTACATTCCAACACTCACTGATCTCACCATTGGTTTCAATGTGAAGACCACTTGCAATGAGCCAACAGTGTGGAAGCTAAGCAAGGTAGGTTCAGGGTTTTGGTTCTTGAGCACTGGTGGTGAAGCTCATGCCATCACTAGCAAGTTCAAGATTGAGAGGCTTGAAGGAGAACATGCTTATGAGATCTATAGCTTCAAGTTTTGTCCCACTGTGCCTGGTTCTGGTGTTCTGTGTGCTCCTGTTGGGAGCTATGAAGATGCTGATGGAACCAAAGTTATGGCTATAGGTGATGATATTGAAACATACTATGTTAGGTTTCAGAAGGTTTCTACTTATCCTCAGGAGAAGAATCAAGGGTTTAGCAGTGTTTAGTTTGGCAATTTTTTGTGCCTAGTTTAGTGAGATGGATCTTAATAAGCCAGAAAAATGCACCTTTTTCTTTTCTTTTCTTTTTTTATGGTGTGTCTATGTGACAAAGAATTGCAAGAAATTTTCTTTTCTTGGTTCACATGGAACAGAAAGAGTCCTTGTCTCTTTTATGATTTGCCATCTCTTTTCTTTTTGTAAAAGTAAAATGATATTTATTTTTTTAACTTATTCCAAGTTTCTGTGTTACATTTTTTGTTCAGACTTGTTTCTGATTCTATCAACTTCTTTGAAATGAAGTAAAAAACAAATAAATAAAATGTAAGTGTAATTATAGAAAGTATAGAATATACTCAATTGTTTTTTAACACAAGAAATTCATCAAGAAATTTCTCAAAGGAAGATTGAGAAATAATGTATTCAAGTTAGAAACAACAAATTACAATGAACTACGCATTGTTACAAAAAGCACTGCATAATTGTGCAAGCGTTGACCACCTCAAACGAATCCATGCACTATGTGTGACACTAGGATTTCTACACAAGCACAATCTCCAACAACCTTTGTCATGCAAGTTGCTTCAAAGTTACAAGAGTGTTGGAAAAACAGAACAAGCACAAAGGGTCTTCAATCAGATTCAAGAACCAGACATAGTCTCATGGACATGCCTCCTAAACCTCTACCTCCATTCTGGTCTTCCTACCAAGTCTCTTTTGGCGTATTCACATTTTGTGCGTATGGGTCTAAGGCCTGATAGCTTCGTTGTTGTTGCAGCTTTATCCTCTTGTGGGCATTGCAAGGATTTGGTTAGAGGGAGGGTTGTTCATGGAATGGTGTTGAGGAACCATTTGGATGAAAACCATGTTGTGGGTAATGCTCTGATTGACATGTATTGCAGAAATGGGATGATTGGAGTGGCTGCATTGGTTTTTGAGAAGATGGGATTCAGAGATGTGTTTTCTTGGACTAGTTTGGTCAATGGGTACATACTTTGTAACAATCTCGATACTGCTCGTCGACTGTTTGATGCAATGCCTGAAAGAAATGTGATTTCTTGGACAGCTATGATAGTTGGGTGTGTTAAAGAAGGAGCACCAATTCAGGCTTTGAAGCTGTTTAAGCAGATGGAAGCTGATGGCGAAGCTCCTCCTTGTGCAAATTCAATCGTGGCAGTGCTCTCCGGATGTGCTGATGTTGGGGCTCTTGATTTTGGTCAGTGCATACATGGTTGTGTTCAGAAAACAAGCCTGATCCTGGATGTCACAGTGAGCAATGCTATGATGGATATGTACTCAAAAAGTGGGAGGCTTGACTTGGCTGTAAGGATATTTGATGAGATCCTGAAGAAAGACCTGTTTTCATGGACAACTATGATATCAGGGTATGCTTATCATGGAGAAGGACACCATGCTTTGGATGTTTATTCTCGCATGTTAGAATCAGGGTTTACCCCAAATGAGGTAACCCTGTTATCAGTTTTAACTGCTTGTAGCCATGCTGGACTAGTTGTGGAGGGGAAAGTTTTGTTCAGTAGAATGATTCAGTGCCATTATTTGAAGCCAAAGATTGAGCACTATGGATGCATAGTGGATCTTCTTGGCCGAGCAGGGTTGCTGGAAGAAGCAAAAGAAGTGATTGAGCTGATGCCCATTAGCCCTGATGCTGCTATATGGAGATCATTACTTAATGCTTGCTCAGTCCGGGGGAATTTTAGAATGGCTCAAATAGCTGGAAAGAAGGTAATTGAACTTGAACCAAATGATGATGGCGTTTACATGCTAATATGTAATATGTACTGTGCTGCTAGTATGTGGAAGGAAGCATCAGACATAAGGAGGTTGATGAGGAAAAGGAGGATAAAAAAAAGGCCTGGGTGTAGTTGGGTTGACATCAATGGCGTTGTTCAAGAATTCTTAGCTGAAGAGACATCGCTTCACGTTAATGCAGAGCTTTGTTTCTTGCTAAAAGGAATCAAACAGCACAGAGAAACATGTCTCTTTGCAAATATGTAAAGGTAAGACTGCATATAAAAATTATTCATTCCTACCTTGTTAGTTGGGATTTATTAGGGAGTGGTTTATTCGCAGTTGATATATATTTATTCTTTGACAATTATTTGTTAAGATTTTTCTCTAAGTATTTATTTTCCTTGTGTAGCTAGCTAGGTACTCGTTTATACCCTCGTATCTCAATCCAAGATTCTTTAGCAGGTGAAGTTTTTGTTCCAACTTTATGTTCTGATCATTTGAGGCAACTCTTTTCTCATCTTTTTAAAGTTTACTAGTTAATACCTTTTTTGGTTACACACTAGTTACTACTATGATGGTTCCCTTTTCCACTGTTGTCTTGATTTATCCTTTATAAGTCTAGAATCGGTTTGGCAGTTTTGAGCATTCATTTGGTGCAGATGATTGTTTGGAGCTAATCCCTGTGTTGATCTCCTCCACAACTTTCCTTGTCATGTTTGCCACACCACAGCTCTCTTGATGGCAGTCCCAAATCCGAGGTTTATTTTGTGGACACAGTACACATAATGCAGTGGGATGGTAGTGTCATCATTAGGCCCCATGAAAATTGTGTTAAATTTGTTTCTCGATTGGTTGTTTGCATAAAGATATATGTATGTCTTTTGGTACAAGATTCGTGAAAATATTTAGAAATCAGAACTCAAAACAGACAATACACTGCATAGCATTACAAACCCCACTTACATAAATTAGGGAATCTGGGTCTTGACACAATTTAACACACTTGAAGAAGTTTGACCATTGAGTCATATTGCTCATTGTGATTATATTTAAGTCACACATGATTAATGGAGTTCACGTTCTTAGCGCGAATCATCATATGTAGCTATTTTGTGTTGTAGGAAGTTCCTAAACCAGATTGCTGACATTTTTGGATGTCTTTTGAGACCATTTTTGTAATCTACAAAGATAATTCCAAATCTCACAGTGTAGCCGAAACACCATTCGAAGTTATCAATCAATGACCATGCAAAGTATCCTTTCACATTCACGCCATCCCTGATGAATTCAAAACCAGCAAAATTAGGGAATCATTAAACATATATTCAGTAGATAAACTACAAAAAAATTTGCTGTTTTGATATAAAAGCACTTACTTGATTGCAATTTGAAGATAATAGAGATGATTATAATAGTAATCAATCCTTGGTGTATCTGCAAGGGCTTCCTCAAGCGATAGTGTTGAATCATTGAACTCATCCATTCCTACATATAAACTATTAAATTATTTCCCATAAAAATATATGTGTAAGGACATAACCACTAGCATAATCTCTCTCTCTCACTGTTAGTACAATCCAAAATTAATTTTGCACTAACAAATAATCATTTATCCATATATAATGACTATTTAACAAGTAGATTGAAAGTAAATATGACTGGTTTATGAGAAAAGTTATACTTACTGAAATTTTTTACAACTTTTATTATTAAACTAATAATTGTTCATTTTCGTCAATTTAATGATTATAATTTATTAGGTATACTTATTAATTTTCAAAAAATTATAACTGTTAGATTGACGGAAATTAAGAATTATTAGTTTAGTAGTAAGAGTTGTAAAATTTTTCAGAAGTAAATATAACTTCCCACTTTATTACCATTTTCAGTGATGTAGATCAAAGGGTTGTTGTACTTTGTTTTTGTATAGAGCAACATTTCTCGAATTCCTTTTGGATAAACAAACAACCATTCTGAAGCAGTCTGCAAGTATATAAGTCTCCTTTTCTTCATGAAGCCCAAAATCTAATTGAAATGAAGCATTATGTACTTGCAAATGAAGTATTCAGATACATACCTTTGGACCAATAGGTATCCCATTACGCTCATCTGTCACCATAAAATACATCATGATCTAATACTAACAAAAATTAATAATAACAATCATGGATATTACTAAATTTTTAATCGTAGCTATTGGTTATGAAATTAATAACACAAAAAAAATCAAATATTTATATTTTACTGCTCAGTTTGCACTGTCCCTCAATATTGTATCACATATTTAAGATATGATAATCACTTGAAAAAGGGTATTCTAATATATTATAGAATTGTAAATAATCTGTACAAAGGGTTCTCTATTTATAGAGAATATTTGACCTAATTTTAACCTAATGAGCTTGACCCAATACAACAAATAAATGACTAAATAATTATTATTTACAACACTCCCCCTCAAGCTGAGGAATAGATATTTATCATTCCCAGCTTGCTAGTAAGTTCTTGAAATCTGTCTGAAGGAAGCCCCTTTGTTAATAGATCAGCTAATTGACGCCGAGTGGGAATGTATGGAGTGGTAATCAACCCGCTATCAAGTTTCTCTTTGATGAAATGGCGGTCAACCTCAATATGTTTAGTCCGATCATGTTGGACTGGATTATGAGCTATACAAATAGCGGACTTATTATCACATAGCAACTTCATAGGTCCCTCACATTTTATTTTGAGATCATCAAGTACAATTTTCAGCCACAGTAACTCACAAATGCCTTGAGCCATAGCTCGAAATTCAGCTTCTGCACTTGATCTGGCAACCACATCTTGTTTCTTACTTCTCCATGTCACCAAGTTACCGCAAAGAAACATGCAATAACCAGTGGTAGAACGACGGTCAGTCACGGATCCAGCATAATCAGCATCTGTGTAGACTTCTAAAGATAGATTGCCATCACGTCGGAATAACAATCCTTTACCAGGAGTACCTTTAAGATACTGAAGAATTCTCTCTACTGCCTGCATGTGTTTTTCTTTTGGATCGTGCATAAACTGACTGACAACACTAACAGCATAAGCTAGGTCTGATCTAGTATGGGCCAGATATATCAATTTCCCAACTAGCCGTTGATATTGTCCTTTATCAACTGGAGGACTCTCTTCTTCATAACCCATCTTGTGATTCTGCTCAATAGGAGTATTAGAGGGTTTACACCCGAGCTTTCCTGCTTCTTTGAGAAGATCAAGAACATATTTCCTCTGGCTGATAAAAATTCCTTTGCTTGAATGAGCTACTTCTATCCCTAGGAAATATCTCAGTTTCCCAAGGTCTTTGATTTCAAACTCAGAGGCAAGCCGTGTTTGCAGAATCTGTCTCTCCACAAAATCATCACCTGTGATAATAATATCATCAACATATACAAGGAGCACAGTAAGCTTCCCATTTTGGGAGTGCTTGAAGAAAAGAGTGTGATCTCCTTGGCTCTGTCTGTATCCTAAGGTCATCATAACCTTAGTAAATCTTCCAAACCAAGCACGAGGTGACTGCTTCAATCCATACAAGGCCTTTTTTAATCTACAAACTTTATTTTCCCCCTTCACAGAATCAAAACCAGGCGGGATTTCCATGTAGACTTCTTCTTCTAACTCACCATTGAGGAAAGCATTTTTCACATCAAATTGATTTATATCCCAATTGTAATGGGCAGCAAGGGATAACAAGATTCTCATTGTATTCATCTTTGCAACTGGAGCAAAGGTTTCTTCATAATCAATGCCATAGGTTTGAGTGTAACCTTTGGCCACTAATCGAGCCTTATATCTCTCAAGAGTGCCATCAGAATTATATTTCAGGGCATAAACCCATCTGCACCCTACTGCTTTCTTTCCGTTGGGTCTATCAATAACATCCCATGTTTTATTTTTCTCCAAAGCATTCATCTCCTCTTGCATGGCTTGAGCCCAATTCCTATCTCTCAAGGCTTCATGTACTGATTTTGGGATTGCAATAGAATCTAGTGCTGAAACTAAGCTTTTGTGCTGCACAGAAAGATTAGCAGAGGAAACAAAGTGGGAGATAGGGTATTGAGTACAAGAGGGACATAGGAACAAGTTTTCTTGTGACAAGATCTTTTTCCTTTACTAAGAGCAATAGGTAAGTCATCAGAAGTAGAAGCAATGGGTAAGTCATTAGAGATATCAGAAGAAATAGACAAATCATGAGAGGAAATAATATTAGAATCAGAAACAGGAGATTCAGGAGACTCTGAAGAAATAGGAGATTCAGGACTTACCAGTGGTTCAGACGATTGAGGTTGCTGGTGAAACAGTATGGGTTGTATCTCAGGTGTATTTGAAGGTTATGACACACCAGGAGCAGACACACTAGGAAGAGAGAAGATTGATCCAGACTCAAAGAAGGAAGGGGACGAGTCTTCTGAAGAACTATTCTCCCCCTGACGATGAGGACCCAGGAAATAAGATTCAGATTCTTGAAAGGTGACATCCATAGAAACAAAAAATTTCCGACTTGGTGGATGATAACACTTGTACCCTTTTTTATAAGGGTTATAACCAAGGAAGACACACTTAAGAGCCCTAGGATCCAACTTACTCTGATGTTGTTTATGAACATGGACAAAGGCAACATATCCAAACACTCTTGGTGGAAGGCTCTGCAATATGGGAACAGAAGGAAAGAAGGAAGTCATGGAATGAATAGGACTGATATTGTTAAGGACCCGTGAAGGTAAACGGTTGATCAAAAAAGTTGCAGCTAATACTGCTTCTCCCCAATAAGAACTAGGAACAGATGTCTGAAAAAGTAGTGCTCTAGCAACTTCAAGAAGGTGACGATTTTTCCTTTCAGCAACCCCGTTTTGTTGAGGGGTATCAACACATGTGAGCTCATGAATCATACCTCTGTTTGAAATGAATTGTGACAGGCGTTGATTGACGTACTCAGTACCATTATCAGATCTGAGTCTTTTAATACCCTTACCAAACTGAGTCTCAACCATGTGATGAAACCGAATAAATATCTCTGGTACTTCAGACTTGTCTTTCATCAAGTATATCCATGTTATCCGAGTACAATCGTCAATAAAAGAAACAAACCACCTTGCACCTGAAACACTGTGCACTTTAGAAGGGCCCCAAACATCAGAATGGATAAGAGAAAAAGGTTCCCTGCTTTTAATAGTGCTAGAAGGAAATGACACTCGATGGTGTTTTGCAAATTCACAAACATCACAATGAAAGGTCTCAACCGACTTATTGAGAAACAGATAGGGGAACATAGACTTCAAAAGACTAAATGGTGGATGCCCGAGACGCTTGTGATGGAGCCAAATCATAGACTCTGCAGTAGAAGGATGACGTGTCATTAATAACTGATTTTTGCTAGCATGGTCTGGAAGGAGATGATACAACCCATCCTGTTCATTAGCAACTCCAATTGTCTTCTTCGTGGTAAGATCCTGAATAAGACAATGAGAAGGAAGAAATGTGATAGAACAATTCAAATCAGTTGTAAGTTTTTGAGTGGAGATAAGATTAGTAGAAAGCTGAGGAACATAAAGAACATTTTTAAGAAACAAGGAAGGTTGAATTTGAATGTTACCAGAACCAATAACTGATTTATGGGATCCATCAGCTACGGATATAGTATAACTACCAACAGTAGGATGATATGAACAAAACAACTCAGTACGACAAGCCATATGATCAGTTGCACCAGAATCCAAAATCCATGAGGTTTTAAAATCAGCGCAAGAAGCAAGAAGAGATATAGAACGTGTGCTCTTACCAGATACGATCGAAGAACTATCATGCTCGGCCATTCTTTAACAAAAAAAGTTAACAACCAGCGATAAAATCAACCAAATAGAATATCAAATGACCTCTGATCAGAAAAATAATTACAGATCCAGACAAAAGACAAGAAGACGAGAAGAATGGTGGTGGTCCGATCCAAAAACACGGCCGCACGCGCCACCACGCGCAGGAGAAAGGAGATGCGCGTGGGATTCACTCGCCGGGAAAGGGGCGGCGCGTG